TGAAACCCAAAACACTGTCCAATAAAAATGGATCGCGTGTAGAGGTGTTCACAGTATTCTGTATCCATGAATAAGTTGACCGAATCCTGTACTGTATTACTGTATAATCGGTTTCTTATGTTATATAATCACAGAAACTGTTGAATTGTTTGGTTGTAGAGTTAATTTCTGTTAAATCTAGTTATATAGATGTCTGGATATATGTTTGTTTATAGATATGCATTGCTATATGTAATATTGTAATAGAGGATCAATTTTTGATAAACTATTCTCAAGTTTTTATTGTCATATGTAATGGGTTCATGAATTTAAGATATGAATGTGCAAGTATACTACAGTATCAATGAGAGTCTATCATCTATCGTATAAGTTTGCATGAATTTGGCAAAGAATTAGCAAACATTTAAGTTATATTATATTAGTTATATTTATTAAAATTATAAAATACTGGCAATTGCATACTTAAAGTTATACTGTATTACTCATTAAACCCTAGATTTTCGGATCTAAACTATGCACTTGAATTCACTTTAATATTGGCAAGTTCAATTTAACAAGTTTTTCTATTCTGGTTACAAATGTAATGCTAGAAACCTATATGACTGGTAAATGAATATTATATTAATAAAAATATATGAAATATGAAAGTAATAAACTAAAAACCTAGGTAAGAATACAGAAAGTTGAATGAAATAAACCATTGAATACACGAATTGCATAGCATGCAAGTATTCTAACTATGAATATATGGGCAAAAATGTATTGCTAATAATAATCGGTACAAAACATTATCGATTGGATGTATGCGTTGACTGTATGGGTGAGAGTGGGCCGGGAGTGTAGTGACTGTGTAGTGAGTCTAACAGTGAACTGAATGCCTAAAACACTCTATTATTAGGTGTTGTACTACCGGTTGAGTCGGTTTTGGCTCAAAACCAAANGTGTATGGGTGAGAGTGGGCCGGGAGTGTAGTGACTGTGTAGTGAGTCTAACAGTGAACTGAATGCCTAAAACACTCTATTATTAGGTGTTGTACTACCGGTTGAGTCGGTTTTGGCTCAAAACCAAACATGTATTCAGTAATGCAGTCATAGCTCAACCATTTCCAGTTGCATTGGTGAGAGCCATAGGAAACCTACCTTTTCATAAGTTTGATGACCTACCAGTGCGAAGAGTACCAGTGCGAGAGTAATATATACCCACAAAATAGTGAAACCCAATCACACACTGCCAGCGCTATCACCGCTGCCATCATAGCCGACACCAATTGATCCATCGCTCGCCTCTTCGCCCACCAAACCATTCATTCACTCATTCATTGATTTTCAGGTATTTTTTGTGTCCATTATTTTCCGCATTTGTTTCGTGCAATCAATTGATTGTCATTTTTTATGCAAACATTTTCATTGAATTGATTGCATGAATGACACAATTATATCACATTTGATGACATGTCTCGTGAAGAATACTCGAGACAATTGTATCGATAACTCGACGCCTTTTCACTAATTTCACGCTAATTGCTATCCATTTGTCAGTTTGACTCGTGAGGTACCGACTCGAGCGGACAGGTATGTCTGGGTTGGGGCAGCAGTACTGTCTCAAGTGGAACAACCACACCAACAATATGGTCAAAGTCTTCAACCAGCTGTTGGACGACCAGAACTTCTGCGACGTGACCCTCGCGGTCGATGGCGCGCACCTCAAGTGCCATAAGCTGGTGCTGAGCGCCTGTAGCTCCTACTTCAAGGAGCTGTTTGTGTCCAATCCGTGCAAACACCCCATCGTTATACTCAAAGACATGCGTCTCGACGACATCAAAGCCATCGTCAACTTCATGTACTCCGGAGAAGTGAATGTCTCGCAGAACCAGTTGGCAGCCCTCCTCAAGACGGCGGAAGTGCTGCGCGTCAAAGGGCTCACCGAAGTGAACGACAAGCAAACCGACGCCCTGTCGGTGCCCAACACCACCGCCACCTCCGCCTCCGCCGTCGCCAATAAGACGCCACTCGAGACACCGGTTACGCAACAGACGCCCAACAACTCCTCCGCCGGTTGCGCGACTCGGAAGAAGCGCCGGCGAAGAGGTAACCACACGACCAATAATAATGTGTCGGTTTCGGGCGAAAGCGGGAACTCCTCGCAGAGCGACGACAGCAGCGACGAGACGTCCAATAAGAAGCCAAAAGAGAGTTCGCCGGCCATTGACGCGACCCCCGCGCGAGTCGTCAAAGAGTCTCGCAGTTTGTTATCCGAATCTAATGCCACCAAAACGGTGACCAAAACACCAGATACTCAACCCGTGAATGTCATTCAAACGCGAAGGAGACAAACGCTGCAGAACTTGGAGTCGGAAGTGAGTCGAGACAATGAGGGCAGCGAACCATCCATTGATTGCAGTGAACAACACGTCAATAATGGAAATGTAAGTCTGAATAGCAATTGTTTGCGGACTTTGTGTCTTAAATCTAATACTCATTTCTATGGTCATTGACAGCAATTGGAGTCGTGGCCATCAGGTGCGGACCACAGCACAGCTCTGGCGCTGACCACCGCTGAAACTGAAGACGAGTCCAACGATATGTTTGGTAAGCGAATGAATGCTATAATTTGATGAATACTCTGATCTTTGATGAATCAATTGATGGTTGTATTAGACGTGAAGCCCATCATATCATTTGATGAGTCGCCGACACAAGGGTCGAGTCCTTTACCCGAAGACTCATCCGTTATGATATCCAGTCCATCGGACACGAACACCAGCGCTGGGACCAGTGCCGCACAAACCGGTAATTATTCACCCCACATAACTCTTAACCCATTCCCTAACTCGAGTCCAAACCCATAACTTAAGGAATAATTGACCCAAAAAACTAATATTCATTCAATGAAAGTAACATTTAATGCAATAATACTGTAGAGTACACGCAATACAATTGTGTTTTATTTACTATGATCTTAAGATTTTAATATACCGTTGACTGAATTATAAGTATAAGTTAGCGTTAGTTAGCAAATGGTATGAAAACAAATAGTGTTTCTCGTGATGGTAGGGATGGTATAACGGGGTGGTTAGGAATGAAGCGATAGCACACTGAATGAGAACTAATGCCAATTATATGTTGTAATTGTAGGCAAAATATGTGTCTGTCATCTCTGTCACCTCACATTCACCGCTTACAGCAGTTTGAGAAGACATATGGCCAGACATTATGCAGACCGAGAGAGATATGAGTGTGAAATATGTTTGAAATCCTACTCCCGGAAGGATTATCTAAAAGAGCATAAAAAATTAAAGCACGCGATTGGATAATATCATTCAATTTGTTGTCTAAATTATATATAATACCTGTATATATCACTTTAAAATCTCATTAATTAATTATTTATTCATAAATTTGTCATTAATTTTGATACTATTTCTCACAATTTATGTTATTTAACAATAAATTATTAATATATTGGCCATTAAATGAATTAGTATTAAATAAAAACAATTGAATTGTGTTCATATCTCACTCTTTTTAGACCAATGATTTTATTCATTAATACCACAAAAGAGATTTAACCATAAAATGAGAGTAAAATTATGATTTCAATTACACGTAGCGTCGAGAAGACCATTAAAAGTAATGATTTGGTCTCTAATTCATAGGCAAAAGGCGTTCGTCTTTGAGATCATTTGGGTTTCAATCCATACATGACTTCGGATATACCGATAGCCGCAGCGAATGTCCCTTTTGTCACAAAAGGATTGTTAACCTCAGAAGACATATAAATGAAGTACACGTCGGAGTGCTCTTCCAGTGCCAGATCTGTTGCCGAAAGTTTAAGCGAAAGGATAAACTCAATCACCACTTGATTACTGAACATAACATTTGACTCCAAGTATTGCATCGATTCAACTGAAACTTTTTTCATCTCATAATTGGATTTTTGTTTCGTTTTTGTTTTTGTTTTAATTTTTATTTTAAAATTTGTTTGATTTTGTAAATTAATAGTGGATGTTTTTAATATATTATTATTGAAATATGATGTTTATTTGTAAAGTCCCTAATATATTCTCATGATTAATGGAAAACTAATTTCTAAAATAAAAATCAATAATTGTATTTATTAATTATCATATAAATCATACGAATTAATACTCTCAAGAATTATATACAATAAAAACTAGACATTTATGATCATTTAGTCAATGAATGTTTCATTCTAACAGTAGTAATAAATAATTAATTTATAATATGAGTTAACAATAATTTAATATACAAGCTTAAACATGATGTGAACTTTTATGAACTTATTCATTGGAAAACACTTGAGTGTGTGTGGAGTGTATTTCACTCAATCATTTTGTTATCATTATCTCAATTATACTTCACAAACCAATTCCTGTCTAAAACAAACAGACAAAACAATCGGTGCAACGAATAAAGTGATTCGTTATTACTTTATAATCATTTTGAGTATTTTATAACTTATACCAGTGCTTCAAACGGTATGTCTTAATGAGTCTCATCATTGCCGGAATAATAACTGAGTAAAAACACTGGTTTTATATAAAAACTGATAAAATCTATTTATTTATTTATCATAAATCTGAGTGAAAGGATATATTTAGCACTGGAGTCGACCCACACTTTCTGCATCCTTTGCTTCTGAGAAGTAAAAGTAGTGTATATTATGTTAATAATAGCGATGAGTGAAGAATGTGTTGAATAGCGTATATCCTTATCGCTAAATAAGTAAAAATATTATAATTTTTATTGAAAACAACGGAATTTTGGAGAAAACAACAGCCGGTTGTCCCGAAAAATGTATGGTCTGAACGACAGGAGTAACGACAGAAAAGATGATATTAAGTACACCCGAGAGGAGAGCCGAAGTCTGTCGGATTCACTGGATTCTTGTGGTGCGGACCAGACCTGTCGTCATAATCTGAAACATTTACTCCATTCGTATCGCTTTCACGTAAGTCTCCATTGATTTCCCGATTCTTTAGACACACAACGCCCACAAGTTTTGAACTCACCTTAAAATCATTGACTTGTAAACTAGCAACTTATTTGTCTTTGTGGGCAATGGTTGTGTCAACTGTTCTCAACCCTTAAACCCATATATTGTGGATAATATTTAAATGATATGCAAATTCACTTCTAGCTACTTATAGTGGGTTTAGTGATCATCGACTGCATAGTAGTGGTCATTGAACTGATGATTGATTTGCAAATATATCAGACAGAAGTCAAAAACAATCCCAACCATGACATCAATAAATCTCATAATACGGCGCACACTATAGCGGAGGTTAGTTATGAAGTGTTGTAAAATGTTTGCAATTTATTGTTTTCATTGATAAGAAACTTTTTATCAACAAAACTTTATACACAAAAAAAGTTAATTAATGATCGTTTAGGTCTTGCATTACACGAGTATCGCTATTCTCTGCATATTTACGATTGAAATCATTTTCAAAGTATACGTCTTTCGGACGGAGTATGTGAAGCATAAGTCAGAGATTTTTGATGCATTTATTGTAATCACATCATTAACTCTGGACTTGGTTTTCATCAAACATGAAGATATTCTCCGATATATCGGTTTAGTGATTATATTGCGTTTGTGGCGAATTGTCAGGGTCATTCATGGTATGTCTAGATGAGAATATTCTTTGCAAATTGCAGTCCTATTTCTAAACGTTCAAAATTGCTATTCATTTAAATGTCTGCACTAAATGTAACTAATGTTGCGATTAAATTGATGGACAGGTATAGCGATATCAGTGAAGACGCCATTAGAGCACAGCTATGAGAAGGAGAAGAGGAAGAGAGAGAAAGGGGACAAAGAGTTGGCGGAAATGCATCTCTACGTCAACTCATTGGAGATTGAAATCATGAATTTGCGGTCAATTCTCAACAATAATGGTATTGTCGACGGAGTGCCGCAAACTTATCTCAAGATTGACCGGAAAGTCTGATTCGTGATATATGTCTGAAGAAAATATTTCTATTGTTTTTGGTGTTATTTTTAATGTATTGAAAAGTCAACTTTTTTTTTATATTAAAACAATTGTTCTTTCATTCAATTATTAATTATAATATTTTAACAAACGTTATCAATGTTTTGCATAAAAATAAGATTATTAAGCATTACATGCAATATTTATTATATTGTACTGTATAAGTTATTTGTTGTTAATACCGGTATTAAGTTTAATATTTAAAAAGTTTATATTTCTGTACCAATGAACCGATTCTGTTCATTGAATACAGTATATGAATATATTGAACCTATATTTATGTTAACTAACGAAATTACATTTACAATAAAAATTTTATGTTTAAAACGATTCAAAGGCTAATATTTATTGTAATTGAAGTTTTTATCACAATTGATAGCAAAGGGAGAGACAGTGAATCTAATGGAAAGAATAGTTGAGTAGTAGTTCTGATAGTGTGTCAGAACTTCAGCACATATTCAGTTGAGTTTGTTATTGGTTTCGCTCACTATTTGCTTGACTCTACTGTAGTGCTCATGAATTCAGTGTATGTGATGTTTGTGTGTTTAAACAGATTCACAATGTATACAGTATATTTGACACATCGTGTTATGTGGCATCTAATATAATATTACCAATTTGTTTTCATATACATTTACTGTAATTAGCTAGCATATAATAATGATTTAGTTGTCACATAATGGACAACTCAATTGAATCACCGAATCTCATAAACAATGAGAATTTTCACACAATTTTGACCAAAAATCACATTTCCATTAATGAATATTTCCAAAATGCTATCATCAATGGACTGGAGTATGATTTGTTTGAATTGTTTGACAACTATTTGTTGGATTCGTTAAAACAACCCCCAAATCAATGTGAAGTAGTATTGTCTCGCATGTTGTCGCTATGTTCACAATTCAACCGATTGTGCACTCAATCAAGTATTTATACCTTATTATCAATTGTACCGTAAAGTTATGTATTACTATACATGTATATAAATATTTTTATATAATTGTTCTTATACTGTGCAAATTTTTTCACCACTAAATCTAGAGATAAAAACAATTCAGAGCACAGAATGTGATAAAGAATGTGCTTGCATATCCAAACACTTTGACAACTATGAAACATTCAATTCTGGGATCAAGTATTTGACAAAACTAAGAAATTCTGTAGGAATCGGAAACCAAATCATATCTGATTCATACGATTCTTGTGTCAGTTCTCTAATCAAAAAGTGTGTTAAAACTGGTTTCGACTCCATTTCCACCGAAATCAGAGATTCTTCTCGTGAAATACCAATCAATGAATGGGTTGTCGCTAAAAGTCCGGCAAGAATTGACTTATTTGGGTATTATATTAATTTTTTACAAAATTTAAAGTAATATAACTATTTACTATTTATATGATTTAACCGATTGAAGGGGTTGGACAGACACACCTCCCATATGCTATGAGATGGGCGGACAGGTGCTAAATATAGCCATTAATTTAAATAACGAGAAGCCGATTGCAGCCAAAGCCCGAAAAGTAGAGCTCAATAATGAACGCCTAATTTCTATCAAGGAATATGATCTCAACAAACGATTGATAACTGATTTAAAACTTAATAATATTGAAGACTTCGGTGATTACTGTAAACCAGATTCTTGCGGAGCTCTCATCAAATCGGCACTTATTTGCTGTCAAATTGTTGATATTAAATGTTAGTAATGAGAATTCTGTAATTAACATCCTTATCATTAATCAAATATTGGTTTTTATAACGATAGGTAATGAGAAAAGTCTTTACAAGCAACTCAACTATAAATTAAAGTCTGGACTCGAGATCGAGATGTGGTCAGATTTACCACAGGGTTCAGGTCTTGGGACGAGTAGTATATTAATGAATTGTGTTATCGCTGTGTTGTGGATACTATCGGNGAGAAAAGTCTTTACAAGCAACTCAACTATAAATTAAAGTCTGGACTCGAGATCGAGATGTGGTCAGATTTACCACAGGGTTCAGGTCTTGGGACGAGTAGTATATTAATGAATTGTGTTATCGCTGTGTTGTGGATACTATCGGGAAAACAATTTTCAAAAACGGCGTTAATTAATGCAGTTTTATATACTGAGCAGCTGTTGACCACTGGAGGGGGCTGGCAGGACCAGGTTTGTTACAATATAATTGATTTAATTCTTAATCTAATGCCGTAATAATGCGATAGATTGGAGGCATTGTGGGAGGTGTCAAATTAGGCCGATCCGAGGCTTTACTACCCCTTAAGATTGACTATAAAACCATTGAAATCAGCGAATCGTTTCGATTACAATTAGAGAAGCATTTAATGCTAATATATTCGGGAACAGTTAGACTGGCAAAGAACTTGCTACAAAATGTGATCCAAAACTGGTACCTAAGGGACCAACAAATCACCGATTGTTTCAATGAACTACTGACCAAAACGGAGCTCTGTTTCGAGGCATTCATTCGGGAAGACATGAAAACAATTGGAGAACTTCTCACTAAATACTGGCGATTGAAGAAAGTGTTGGCCACTAATAGTGAGCCCAAACCGGTCTCGCAATTCCTCAAAAGGTATTTAAATGAATGGATGTAAAGAATATTTGAATAATAATTTATGTTGAATTGATTCCAGTGTTGAGCCCTATATATACGGTGGGGGTCTGTGTGGGGCGGGTGGCGGAGGTTTTGTGTGCCTTATCATTAAAGATGTAGCCTTTAAAAGTGAAATCAATTCAATGGCTAAACTTTGTTTCAGCGAATCTCAAACATATGATTGTCTTATCGATGAAACGGGACTCGAAATCTCAGTCAACGATATGAAGCACCAAATCGTGGATTGACTAATATTTGCATAAATACTATATTCATATAAAAATTTATATTATAAATAAATCTTTTATAATTTTAAAGCTTTTTTTCTAATTTTTTAAGTTTTCACACGTTTGTGATTAGATGTTTTTGGCATAAAGGCACTCTTTGTAAACTTTATTTTGTATCGAAAAACTTTTAAATAAAATTTGATATGAGATCAACTGAATTGAATGCCTAACGCACCCTGACCCTAGCTTATCTTAGCAAGTGATTATGTAATGGTAAGCACTCATATGATAATCTTATCATGAAATATATGGTAATTATATCGACGTCTGTGTCAAAATTGTTAGATTGATAGCCGGAGTCCGTGTGAGTGGACTATAGTCTGAAAGGCGGCGCTCTATCCACGAGTTGTCTAACCATTAAGGCATCGATTTGTGTCGAAATGTGTTTACTTTTTGGCGTTTCAATTGTTTTATGAGTTTTTGGGCTAATGTTTGGTAAAATAAAACTTTTATTTTCACATTTTATTACTGCATGAGACACACAAATAGATAGTCCATTCAATTAATATTCACTTTTCAAACAATATTGTGCAATTGTGCATGCATCAATTTCCAAATCGATTTCAATGACAAAAAATCTATAGATTTATAAAATAGAGGACAAGTTTTGCACACAATATGTAATACAGTATTAAATAATAGTCTTACAGTTTAATGTATGTCTGAAAAAGCATTTAATTAATTGTTTTTTGGGTCAAACTAATTAACAATTTATTCATTATTAATGTGAATATATTTGATAACGTAAACTCATTTTCAATCATACTTACAGTACAGGTATTTGTTGCAGTTTATTAATTTTAATATTCAATTCAAACTTAAAACTACAATTCATGATAAGATTTAATGAAATTTTAATAAATTAATATTATTAACAATAAAATAACTAATTTCATAGCAAATTTTGTCAAGTGTATCGTTTGTTGAATACAAATTACTATAATAATTAATTGGCAATAATCTACTTAAAGTGTTTTTTATATATAACTTTGTTACAACTTAAGTATTTTTGTTATAAAACTAAATACCGATAAAGAAATTAATTATTAAACGATAGTATATACGAAAACTAAAAATATATTTACTTAAAGGCAACTAATAAATCGCTAAAAACTACTATAAATTGCTGTATAAATAGTATTCCCATTCGGAGTCCAATTATAAATGTAAGTTATTTTGTGCGATAATATTGTTTGAGACAATAAATTAATGACAATATTATCGTTACATCTAATGATAACGATATTGTAATACAATTAATCTCTCCTTTAAGTAAAAAAGTTTCTCAAGACTTCAAACTGACGGTTATTATTGTCAAGAATATCCATACGAATAGCGCTTTCATCGGAAAATGACTGAATATATTGAGCAAAGTGTGTGTAAAACAAGTGATTTACAGAATAACGAGTTTGTATTACAATTGACGCTATTATATGACAAACCATTTGACAAGTTATATCTGTTTCTGAAGGAAAAAGGTGTTTGAATTGGGAGACACCGGGAAAGTGCTGCTCATTAAACAGGACAATAAA